ATGAAGAGGTTTTTTTTTTAATAGCTTTTTTCTGATTATAAGTGCAATGTCTGCTAATGGTAGAAAACTTGGGAAATGTGAAAAAATAAAGAGAACAAACAAATAAATATCACTACAATCCCACAATCACTCGTGTATTTTTTTTCCAGGGGTATTGGCTTATTGTTTTTCTGTTTGTATAAGTATACTTACAAATGGTGGAGCATATACTCTACGGTTTAACATCTTGATTTTAAAATATTTAGCAGATCACAAGCAATCTCAATACTATTAAAATAGCAGCCCCGTAGCCTGTCATATGGGCTTCCAAGGTGGTACAATGATAAAGAATCCACCTACGAATGCAAGAAATGCAAGAAACCAGGGTTCGATCCCTGGGTCCAGAAGATCCCCTGAAGGAAGAAATAGCAATCCACTCCAGTGTACTTGCCCGGAAAATCCGATGGACTTAGGCGCCTGGCGGGCTACATACAGTCCATGGGGTCGCAAAGAATCAGATATGACTGAGTACCCATGCACGTGCGTGCACACACACACACATACACAGTCTGTCATACTATGTTATTTAGCTTTCTCTGATTATATGACATTTGCTTGTTCCCTGTATTTCACTATATAAATACAACACAGAGAAAGGCCTATTTGTACTTAGATCTTACCATCAAATACAGGTCTCACTTATAATCACTGAGCTGCTCCAGGCTGCCTCATGCACACTTGGCGTCCTGCCTTCTGTGTTTCAGAGCCTGGCACGAGCCTAGGCATCTGATGATGTTGACTGAATTACCCTCATTCATTGATGACTCACATATAACCTACCCCTTCACATTGTTAAGTGGGAGAGTGCCTGGATCTGACACACACTTGCTAAAGAGCATGTTAACTTCCAGGAAGCTAAGGACAGTGACCAGAGAAATGCTCAGAGCACAGCAGGGAGACAGATGAAAACAGGCGGGTCCAGGCCTGGGCTGCCTGGAGGAGAGTGCAGCAGCCAGCTCCTTGTCTGGACCTCCATACGTTGAATATTTCTGAGCCAAATATCTGCCAACCCCGGTCTGCATAAGAAAGTTTGCATATTTGCACAGGAACACAGCGTTTGTTCATGGTTTCTGCGTTGATATATACAAATATAGTTTCCTGAGTCAATAGTCCTGCCTGGGGAAAAGTGGAGGAAGTATGATTAGGTAATGAAGTACCGAGGCCAAAATAGAGAGCTTGTCTCCATCGGGCCACGGAACTGACAAAGGACTGTACCCTGCCTTGGTTTCTCTCCCTCAGTCTCTCTTAATCTATATTATATTGCCCTGCTTTCTTAAATACAAAAATAATAATAATAATAATAATAATAATAGGCTACATTCCCTTAAGCCCCAGAGTTTAAAGGCTCCCTCCACAGGGAGAGTTGCTCTGTGTATGCTATCGCTGGAGATGCTAAAGCTTCAGTTAGCTGCACTGTAGGAAGAGGTTGCTGACTCAACTCTTCCTGGTCTCCTTGCTGAAGCCCAGCTCACCTCTAAGCTTCCAAATTCATTTTTCTGTTCTTCTCGGTGGCCACCAGCATACAGTCCTTTCATGGGGCACTTACTGAGGCCAGGTGTTGTGCTGGCAGCTCAGGAGGTAAAGGCTCAATACTTTCCCTTGAAGAGCTACAGACACGAGGAAAGAGAGAGACACCCTTCCTTTTTTTCCCGTTCTAAGACACCCTAAGTGCCCAACTGGGACATTGCAAAGTGCTCTGGACATGCAGATAAAGAGACACGGGAGCCAGGGAAAGATTTCAGAGAAGGTAAACCTAGAAAGTGCACAGGAATTCAATAGATATCAATCTGGGCAAAATATGGTTTGTTTGAGGAACAGAAAATGAGTCTGGTGACTGGAGCAGGATGGGGGATGCAGAATAGACGATGGGAGGGCCAGCTACAGGTGGACTCAAATGGCCTGAAAGTCATGTAAAAGCACCAGCACTGCATCATGTAGATGGTGTGTGTGTGTGTGTGTGTTAGTCATTCAGTCATGTCCGACCCTTTGGGACTTCATGGTCTGCAACCCACCAGGTTCCTCTGTCCATGGAATTCTCCAGGCAAGCATACTGGAGTGGGCAGCCATTCCCTTCTCCAGGGGATCTTGCCAACCCAGGGATCGAACTCGGGTCTCCTGCAGGCGGACTCTTTACCATTTGATCTATCAGGGAAGCCCCTTGTAGAGGTAGGAACAGCCAAATGGGAGGCTCCAGGTCAAAGCTATGACTGGAGCAGAAAAGGAATCACAGGACAGCAAGACTGGAAGCAGAAATAAGAATGAGGATATTCTTGCAACAGTCCAAAGGGACAGGGATGAATCAGATGCTGTGAACTGGGCAATCAGGTGGTTACTGATAGGAGTAACTATGGCGAAAAATCCAGTGAGAATCCAAGAGAAGGGCTCCTATTTTGCTTTGGACTTGCACTTCAGGTGTGTGTGGGATACTCGTGTGGCAATGTCCAGCAGCAAGTAGATAAACTCAGAGGTGGCGTCCATGTGGGAACTGTCAACTTGTAAGTGACAGCTGAAGCCACAGGAACAGAGTAAAATTGCTCATGGGAAGTGTGGTGGGTGGGACACAAACATCAAAGCGGAAAAGCCTGGCTTGTGAGGGACAGAGGAGCTGGGAAGGAGCGGCCAGTATTAAAAGATCCAAACTGGAGTCATGTCATGGAAGCCAACAAAAGAGGGGAATTTAGGGACAAGAATGTCAAAATGAAATTATGCAAAGATCAGGTAAGGTGCAGACTCAAACCTCGTGGCAATGAGCATGCCATCTGTGACTTTATAGACAGCAACTTCAGCAGTGTGGAATATCAAAACACCCTCAACTGGGAAGCAAAGAGAAAAAGTGGTGGATTTTTGAAAGAGAAGGCTCAAAAGAGGGACTGGCAAAGTCATGGGATGCGTTTTTCCAAGGTGGAGTTTCACTAAGTTTGTAGGTTGTGATGCCAGAGCCTGTAGAGGTAGAGTTATGAGTTTGTCATAAAGTGACTTTGACAATGGCAAACTGGCAGACTAGAGAATTGTGGTGTCGTTGATCATGGTATGAACATTCCCGAAAGGAGTCACCTTCCACAGGCTCAGACAGGCTTCCTAAAGTGGCAGTGGTGGTAAAGAATCCGCCTGCCAATGCAGAAAAGGCAAGACAAGGGGTTTGGATCCCTGGGTCAGGAAAATACCCTTGAGTAGGAAATGGCAACCCACTCCAGTACTCTTGCCTGGGAAATCCCATGGACAGAGAAGCCTGGCGGGTTACAGTCCATGGGGTCGCAAAGAGTCGGACATGACTGAGCGACCAAGCACAGGCTCAGATACTTTGACATTCCCCAGTTCTGAGCTGCAGGCTAGTGTGGGCAAGGCCAAAGGAGGGAGAGGCTCCGGGCCCCATGGAGAAGCTGCCTGTTGAGGCTCAAACACTGACATCCTGAGTCAAGCAGTGTCGGGAATGCAGTGCTGGACACAGGCCCGAGTTCTGAAGCTGCATGGCAAGCTGGCAACTCTGTGCTGTGGGCCTCTGACCCCGCTCATCTCACATTTTTTCTCAACATTTTGGACATTTATGGTGCGCAATCTCGCACCACGTGTCCTGTTGGTGCACAGTTATAATTCGGACTGATGAGGCTATTGGCTGTCTTTAAATAGCCAATTGCACTGCTCTGACATGGCTAGGGTTAACTAAATAACTAAATTAACTAACCCAGCCACAGAATCAAGCTCTGGCCTGAGTATGCCAGGCCAGAAAAATCATGAAAACGAGACTGTGAATTTAACAAGAGTCAAGCGACTCCCACCATGTACTGGGAACACTGGTTCTGATAACTGGCTCTGCCAGCAAGGGCCTCTGCTCCTTTCTCCTTCTTTTAATTGAAGTATAGTTGATTTACAATGTTGTGTTAGTTTTAAGTAAACAGCAAAGTAAGATTTATATATATATATATATATAGTATATATATATATATAGTATCAATATGTAATATTGATATATATTATTAGGTTGAAGTGAAGTGAAAGTCACTCAGTCGTATCTGACTCTTTGTGATTCTCCAGGCCAGAATACTGGAGTGGGTAGCCTTTCCCTTCTCCAAGGGATCTTCCCAACCCAGGGATGGAATCCAGGTCTCCTGCATGGATGGCAGATTCTTTACCAGCTGAGCCACAGGGAAGCCCAAGAAAACTGCAGTGGGTAGCCTATCCCTTCTCCAGCAGATCTTCCTTACCCAGGAATCAAACCAGGATCTCCTATACTGCAGGCGGATTCTTTACCAACTGAGCTATCAGGGAAGCCAAATTATTATTATTAGGTCGGTGCAACCTAATTGCAGTTTTGGAGAGTGAATTTTAAATTATTATATTAATGTATGTATGTTTATATATATTCTTTTTCAGATTCTTTTCCATTAAGGTTATTGCAAAATAGTGAATATAGTTCTCTGTACTATACAGCAGGTCCTTGATATTAATCTATTATATATATGTATTAGTGTATATCTGTTAATCCCCAACTCATAATTTATCCCTTCCACCCCTTCCCCTTTGGTAACCATAAATTTGTTTTCTATTTCTGTGAGTCTATTTCTGTTTTGTAAATAAATTCATTTGTACTGTTTTTTGGATTACACATATAATCTATATCATGATATTTGCCTTTGTCTGGCTTACTTCACTTAGGTCCATCCATGTTACTACAAATGGCATTATTTCATTCTTTTTATGGCTGAGTAGTATTCCATTGTATATGTATGCTACATCTTCTTTGTCCATTCATCTGTCAGTCGATACTTAGTTTGCTTCCATGTCTTGGCTGTTACAAATAGCGCTGCTTTGAGAATTGAGGTACATGTACCTTTTTTAATTAGAGTTTTCATCTTTCCCAGATATATGCCCAGGAATGGGATTACTAGATCATATGGTCATTCTAGTTTTAGTTTTTTAAGGAGCCCAATACTGTTCTCCATGGTGACCATACCTCTACTTCATTCTATGAAAAGATGGGAGGGTTATAAAATAAAATTACTCTGTTTCTTACAAAGATAAAGAAATCATGGACTCTCCTAAAAGAGCACAGACTCCTGAATATATTCTAATCCAATTCCCACCTCCATTTGACTGATACGGAAATAAGACTCAGAGTTAACAATTTCCAAAACTTGCTCAATGAGTGAGTGACACAGAATCCATTGAACAATGCAAAGACGGCTACCATGACATGACAAGGCTTCTTTGACATTCAGTCACCCCTTCTGGACAACAAACCATACCCTGGTGGGCTCAGATTTAACTGAACACAGAGCCCTCCTAACTTCTGGGCTGGAGGGTGGGCCCACATAATGTCCAGGGAAGGAGACCTGGACAGTGGCAGGGAGGCTGAGGAGGAGGTGGGTGGGCACAGCAGTAAATGCCCATCATCAAGGTGTCCTGCACGTCCCCATCGTCCTCCAAGTCCCCTCATTCATCAGGACTCTGTGCTTGCGAGTGAGAGGGGCCTCCCTTTAGCCAGCTGAATCAAAAGGCTGTGGACATAGCATTAGGGCCCCAAACTCCTGAGCAAACAAGGAAAAGGTACCTGGTGGCCTACACACTGCCTGCTGGAGCAGGGGTCAGTGAAGTAAAGCCGTAGAGATAAGCTCCAGAACAGCCTGTGGACCTATTCCAGAGCTGAGCATGGGGATCTAGCTGGGCTGGTGTTGGACTCCAGCAGAGGGACCCCAGCCTTGGGCTTTTATGATTAGAGAAACACCAACACCTCTCCTGGCTTGGTAGAACTCTGGTTATCTGCCCTACTCTTCCAGCTTAGCATTCAGAGTTGGGGAGCAGCCCAGGGTTGGCGTTCCAGCCTATGACATGGCAGTGATCTGCTAAGATTGAGCATCTTCGGCATTCAAATGGAGCCAGCTTCCTTGGAGCTCTGCAGGAGACCAGCGTCTCTGAAGCCAGCCTACAGAGAATAGTTAAACTAAGAATCAGCTGAGTACATTGGATCTCACTTCCCCAGTTCCTTTTACCTGTCAAAGGCAGCTTTTCTAATCTTAAACTTAACCACAGCACCCTCTGCCAAGGCCACTTAGCATCTTCCCTCGCCAGCATGATAGAGTCAAACTGCTCAGCCTGAGATGTGAGGCTTCCTACACCAGATCTCACCTTTCTGTCCAGGCTTACCCTCAGCGCCCCAACTCCAAATGCACTGGATCTGCTACTTCCCACCATGGCTCCCAATGACGTGAGCCTTTTCCCATCCTGCTGGCCCTGTAAACTCGCAGACACATTACCCCAAATGCCCTCATGGAGAACATCTGGCTCCTTCTCCTGAACTCTATGATTACTTTCACCATTAGTTGTTTTCATACCTGCCCAACCTGGAGGGTGCTCAGTCATGCCATCTGCAGAGAAGGTGTCAGTGAATCAGGATAAAGGTCAGCAGCTGCATACACCCCAGAACTCAGGCTCCAGGCCCTTCTGCCCTGCCCATAGCCATAGATTCCAGATCTCACAGATACTGAAACACCCTCTATCTTATATAAATCAAGTGACCTTTAACTGTTTCAAATCTACATACTGGATGAAAGGTGACACCTGCCATCTCCTCTGAATAGTTAAATATTCTGATGAGAACCTCAGTATTCCTGCCACCTCGATATGACTGAGGCCCCACTGCCAATTGGCAGCACACCCTGACAGTGCCCTGGGGCTCAGGAAAAAGGTTGATGCTCACACCTGCCCAGATACTGCACAAGTCTCCCACTTGCTTCAGGCATGTGGGCCTTTAAAAGTAAAGGTATGAAAAGGAGGTCTCTCCTTAAGAAATCCTTTGTAGATCCACCCCCACACCTTAAAGTCAGGGGCTGCAAATGACATTTACAAGGTGGCAACAGGTTGCTGGCCATCACAAAGCATGCTACCTGTAAAGGAGATATGACTATCGCAGTGAGTTGAAGTTCTTTGTTCTGAATACATGCCCTATTTTCAGTGTGGTTTCCTTGGCAGTTGATTGAGCGACTAATTGAAAGCCCATTAATAGCTTCATGAATGAAAGGAAATGTACTTTAAGAGAGCTCCATACTGGTACACAATTGCACCGACAAACTGTTTTCAAAATCTGACAAGAATCAGTTTCAAATAAAGGGTGACATTCAAACAACTAGAAACCTCAAGGGCCATGATTACACAGCCCCATTCATAAGCACCCTCCTGTTTGAGGGTTTGTTGGCAAGTTCACCCTGCAGAAGCCTTCTCAGCTGCCCGAAGTAGGAAGTTCCTGGCTGTTCTCAGCAAAGGAGGCTTCTGAATATGCTCTGCAAATCCTTTCCCAGTGTATTCTCAGAACCCAGAAGCCCCAGTCTTATCTATGTCCACATATTTGTAGCCATTGTGAGGTGTATCAGAACCTTAAAGAGACACTCTGGGTAAGTCTTATCACCCTTGCAGGCCAGGCCAAGGACCTTGTCACTGAAGAATGTCTATCCAAGTTAGCATGACCCACTTTAAGGCAGAAATGACAGCTGTGCTCACTCCTCCACTGCCAGACCGTCTCTCAACAGGGTGTAGGAAGCAAAAATTTCTTCTTTGAAGAACTTGCAGGTCTTTTCAGGATTTTCTCAGGCATCACTGTATCCCTACAAAGCAGTTAGTCACAGCAACAACTCCCATCTTCTAGTCAAGAAGTTTGACCTTGAAGCAGTCCTTGATTCTCTAAAGAAGAAAGAGCACAGAAAAGAGATGAAGGGCAACTTACCTGGTATCATCTCTGGGAAAATAGCATCTTCACCCTATCCATCAGAGACTCCTGCTGAGCACCACCCCACCCCATATCCCAGGACCCCACCTTGTTTGCTGACCTTGCTGTCCCATCGCCAGATTCAGCTCTGGGAACCTAGAATTCTTTTGGCCCACATCCAGCTCCAGATCAGCCCACATCCCATCTAGTCACATCTCAGCCCCACCCCTCAGCATGACTTGGTCAGGCCTTGGCCAAAGCTCTCTCTAGGGCTCCAGACGCAAGCATCTGACTATCCATCTGCACACCCAAGAGGGCCTCAAACACAGAATGCACACAGATAAACCAAAAAAATCAAAATCCCTCTCCATCACACTAAACGGACCAGACATATATATCCACTTTCCCAAGTCTGGAACCTGGGAATCTTCCTTCTCTCTTCCACATCCGAGTCATCTTATCTGACACCCAAAAATCTTTCCAATTCATTCTCTCCTCTTCAAGACTACTTCTGCTTTGGGGGACTACCTCTATCCCCTGATATGATAATCCTGTATATCCATGTGATTCTAGTAGGGTTGACCCCACCATTCTGATCTAGCAGTGGTCAAGGGACACAGGCCTGGGTACAGAAAGTATTCCAGCTACTTGGTCACAATCATTGGTTAAGGACTGAGCTATCAGAATCCTCCCCAGAGGACTTCCCTGGTGACTCAGTGGTTAAGATTCTGCACTTCCAGTGCAGTGGGCCTGCTTTCAATCCCTGATCAGAGAACTACATGACATGTGGTATAGCCAATGCAGTGCAAATCTTAAAAAAAAAAAAAAATGAAGTGCAGAATCTTAAAAACAAAGAAACAAATCCTCTCCAGAGTTCTTACAGGACACAGAGAAAAAGACATGCTCCTTCCCTGGCAGCCCAGTTGTTAGGACTCAGTGCTTTCATTCAAGGTGGCAGATACAAAGAAAGAGAAAAATGATGGAGAAAGACGTGAACCTCGGAATTCCTGCTGCTCAGAGCTAATCTGCCTACTGCAAAGGAGTGTGTGCAGGCTGCCAGGGTCCCTTCTCTGCAGCTGGACATGCTAATGATATAGAGTAATCCCACTGTCTGCTACCATAGAACTCTTTACTGTGTACAAAGCCCATCCACAAATATTGTCTCCCAAAAATGTTAGGAGTTGACCAAGGTCCAGAACTCTGACTCCACATGCTTTTCACTCGTGTCTTCACAGTCTCACTGGTGGGGGTAAAACCCTTGGGTTTCCGGGCTGGGCACACGTTGCTGAGTCACCAGCCTGAACTCTGCCTGCAACAATCATACCATCTCCAGCTCTGGCATCTGCTTAGGCTGCAAGACATACTGTACATGACCTGCAGAATACAGACTCAGAATTCTTCCAGGAACAATAGCTGAACCAACTGAATGCCAGGCTTCACAAGGCAATTGGATACATCTGAACACCAGGCTTCACAAGGCAACTGGATACAGAAACAGGCCCTTGCTACCCTATCTAGGCCCCACAAAGCCAGTAATGACAGAAGGCCACCCCCCGGTTTCAATGTGCCCACTTAGCTAGGTGAAAGAGCCTGACAATGAACATAGCAAGAAGAAGCCCTAGACCTGGCTAGATTGGGTTGGACCTGCCACTGAGCCTCAGAGACCCTTTGGAGACTTCCGTGTGCACTGTGGATAGAGGCAGATGCTCAGACTCTTCCACGGGGACACTCTGCTGGCAAGTCAGCACCAGGGCCTTGATCTCCTTCTTGAAGTTGGTATTGAGAAAGCCATAGATGAAAGGGTTGACACAGGTGGAGGCCATGGCAAGCAGGTGGCACACCAAGAAGATGAGGTTGCCATGACAAATGGGGATGGCCTCATGGTACCAGTCTTCCAGGCTATTGAACACATGCAGGGGCAGCCAAAGCACAGCAAAGGCAGCCACCATTGCCACAAGGATCCCATTGATCCGCTTCATCTGCCAAGTCCGCGAGCTATAGGTGCCCTTGCGGAATACCCGCCCCTGATTCCTCAGGCGCTGGTAGATGCGGACATAGCAGACCAGGATGAAGGCCAGTGGAATGCAATACTGGAAGAGCAGAAGAAAGGTGGTGTAGATGATGCGGTGATGGTCCAGTGGCCAAGACTCGGTACAGACCACTTTATCTGCCAGAAACTCCACAGCCTTGGAGTGGTTTTTATGAAAGACATTCTCTAGGATGCTGTTGGCCAGGAATGGCAGGGAGAGGAAGCCAGCAATGAGCCAGATGACCACAATCCCCAGGTAGGCTTGGGTGACACTGGGTTTCCAGCCTGTTGGATTGATGATGAGCTGATGCCTCTCCAGAGCCACAAGGACAAGTGAGAGGATGGAGACTGTCACTGACATACACTGGATAAAGGTAGATATCTTGCAAAGGACCTCGCCAAAGACCCAGTAGTCCATGATGGTGTAGACAGCCGTGAGTGGCTGGCAGATGAGGCACATGAGAAAGTCAGAGAAGGCCAGGTTGGCAATAAGCAGGTTGGTCACATTGGCCTTCTCCTTCTGCCTAATAGTCACACATATCAGGGAGAGGTTTCCCAGGACCCCCACAATGGTCTCGATGCTGTAGGAGGTGACAATAAAGACCATGGGATCTATAGAATCCTGGCAGTGGTCAGAGAAGTTGTATGGAGTGTACAGAGAAGCTGACTTGCTCCTGTTTTGACCCTGCGGGGATCCTAGGAACAGCAAGGCCAAGAAGTGAGATGTGTTCATGGTGGACAGGAGAAGATTTCAGGAGATTCAAGGATGATGCCTGCAAAGCAAAGACAAATGGCACTTAGGGATAACACCTCCTGCGTGGAATCCAGGGGAGAGTGGGGGCCAGGTAGAAAGGTTCATCGCTGCTTCCTTCCCAAGGCTGAGACCTAGAGAACTGAGACTCAGAGACATAAAGCAACTTGCCCATAGTTAATTAGCCCACAGAGCTAATAAGTAATGGGGCCCAGATATAAACCCAGGTCTGTCTGACATCAGAACCTGTTCCACAGATTCCCTCTGACCTCAGGGTTCGAGGCTGTTTTGATGATAAAGAAATTGAAATTTTGTATGCAGAGTTCAGGGACAGAATTATTTAGAGAGCATGGGTAGAAATCCCCATATCACATTGTATGCAAATAGAAATAGCAACACATTCTTCCATGTGCTCAGGTCCTTCCGTGGCATCCTATGCCCTTTTAAAAAAAATATTTATTTACTTGGCTGTGCTGGGTTATAGTTGCAGCAAAAGGGATCTCTGATATTCGCTGTGACATGTGAACTCTTAACTGAGGCATGTGGGATCTAGTTCACTGACCAGGGATCAAATTCAGGCCTCCTGTATTGAGAGCATGGAGTCTTAGCCACCTGACCACCAGGGACGTCCACACATTCCCTTTAGGACAGAACCAGAACCGCAGGGCTTGACATGCAGTGTGCCTTCCTGGTCTCAGCCCCTACCTACTCTGCCAGCCTTGTTTCTCAGTGACATATGGCAGCATTGAAGACCGCCAGCTATGCCGAAGACTAGGTCATCAGTACCCCAGCTCTCTCCTCCCGACCCAGTACATACACATCAGGCCGAGGTCAAGGGATGCCTACTAACTTCCCTATGGGTCCCCTCCATGCCTATGCTTAAGTCACAGCTTGTAGCTCCCAGAAACTGGCCTGGTCCACACCTCCATGTCCCAGCACAGCCTGGTCCTTTTCCTCTGGTGCCTCAACACAAAGGACTCTCTGCCAAGATCTTATTGGAATATAGACCCCAGAACCCCCAGGTGATAATGCCAACAACAGATATTTTGATGTGGTGTGCGATCATATCACCACACACCATCAGAGCTCCCTTCCTCACGACTTCTCTAGTCATCACTAATCCCACAAGCAGTTCCCAACCTTAAGGAAACATCAGAATCACTCCAGGAGCAGATCAAAAGCACAGATTCCAGAGTCCCTCACCAGGAAATGCAGTTAAGTGAGTCCAGGATGGGGCCAAGGAATGTATACTTTAACAAGAGAACCATATGATTCTGATCACATGGTCCTTGGACCCCATTTCAATAAGTACTGTTTAGAAAGGGCCCTATTTCAGATATTCTTTAGGGCCTTTATAATGGTTGTGTCTATCTATGAACTGTTATAATATAAATGTTCTTCATGATCAAGTGCTAAGTTAGAGGCAGTTTTTATAGGGTATAACCAAAATTAACCAAAGGTCAGTAAAATCTATAATATTTGTCAGCCATCATAAATGTCACTTACTATAAATTTAATTTGACTTAGAAAGATGAATCACATTTGGCCATGGAAAGATTGTCATGAATTCAAAGACAGTTTAAAGTTTAGCTATTTCAGTTACCCAATCCCAGAGACAAGAAAATTTTTCTTCTGTTTTTTTTAAACTTCTTCTTTTTTTTAATATTTATTCATTTGGCTTTGCTAGGTCTTAGCTGTGGCATGTGGGATCTTTGATCTTCATGGCAGCATGTGGGATCTAGAATGGGAGCATTGAAGGCAGCATTGAAGATCCACTTGGCTTGCAGCCCCCTTCTCGAAGAATCTCTAAAGAGTAACATAAGGGGTGGTCACCAGTGAGCCAGGAAACTCCACACCAGTCCCTGCTGACTAGACCACATGGATGCCTGGGCTTAAATCAACCCTTCTCCACAACAACTGGGACTGGGGCAGAGGAGCGAAGTGCTAGGGCTGGGAAAGCAACAACATGGGAAGGAGATCTGTGGGGAACCAAGAAAGGAGCAGAATTACCAGCTAGCCCTTGCATCTTTCTCCAGAGCTACAGATACTGGAAGGAAACTACTCCATAAGAGCCCACCCTAGAAAGGCCCTCTGTGCACAGGAACCAAGGATTTCCAGAAGCGTACTCCAGGGGCGAGGCAGCAATCATTCAAACCCTGAGCCCCAGGTCAGCATGAAAGTTAGATTCCTTCTGTAGAAAGTGCACAGAGGCAGTAGGGAGAAGGCAGTGGCAGTGGGCATGCAGAGGTGATTCTGTTTGGTCCTGTAGACACCTGGAAGACCCAAGTAGCCTCAAGGGCTGTACCTGGATGGGACCTGGGGAGAGAATAGGACAACTGAACCTGCCATACCCAGAAGAGCAGAAAGGGGAATTTAGAAAGACAAACAGGAGAGAGTAGGCAGGAACCAATCTTAGAAAGAGCCCAAAGAGCAGTGGGTGGTCTTGCCTTACTGTGGAGGGCACATGCTTTGCTGGGAGATGGGGCAGAAGGGACAGACATTAACCTTCACTCAGCTTTGGGCTCAAGACATCTCCCTGAGCATTAATCCATACCCTAGCCATGGGAGAAAGGCTTTATTAGGCTGAACCATATGAAATTGCCAGTTTCCAACTATTTTCAATCTGCAAAGACAGCAAAACCACATGGCTGGATTTTATATCAGCTCCATTTCAAAGAGGAGGACACGGAGGCCCAGTTAGATGAAAGGAAGCTGCCCAAGGTCCCCAGAGTCTGTAAGTGGCAAAGCTGAACTAGAACCTTGGTTAGTCTGATTCTGAAGGCCTTGGCACCAGGCCATGCCAGACAGATTTTTTAAGAAGGAGGAAGGGAAGTCTGTGCTAAAGTAGGAGGTGAGCTGATGTGGGGCAGGAGAAGCAGCAGAGGCCGGGTTGGAGACAGACATCCATGGTCTCCAACAAAGCCTGACCAGATGAACACCTGGCAGTGATGAGATATGGCTCAGCAAAGTGACAAGATGCCCCAGCTGGGGTGACATTGCCCAGGGTCCCCTGGCCTTGGGCCCCAGCACATTGGCTCAGACCCCTCCACCTCCCCAGCAAGGGGATAACCTCCAAGATTATCCCAGCCTCTCCAGCCCCTCATCCTTCCCAAACAGACCCAGGCTTGGTGTTCCTAATGGAATGACACTCTTAGACAGAGCTATCTCCTTTGCAATGCAGTTTGGAACCTCCGAGGCCCCTCCTGGGGGCAGAACACAAGAGCACAAGCTTCCAGGGGAGAGATGCGGGCTTGAAGGGCTATCACCAAGCGAGTGTCTATCCCCTGCAACCTCCAGCAATGCAGTTTTTCACCTGGATCACCTTGAAGTAATCACAGCCACTCACCAGGGCTGCTGAGTTGCGGCCACACTGACCACTTCAAGACTTTCTGGGCGGCTTAGAATACCCCCAAAGGACCACACACCAAGACTGTCTCTCACTTCCCACTGCATTCCTCAGAGATGCCCAGTGAGGACCAGGAGACCTCAGGTCTTCCAGGTGCACCCCAGAGGGTGGTGATTCTGGGAGGGGTAGGGTGGACTATAACGCAAAATCAGTGAAATAGTGTCTCCAGGTTGAGTTCCCAAGCAGCTCTCATGACAAGGTGGGACCACCTGCAGCCCCCAGGGGAGCCCTCCACTGCAGCCTGCCTTCCCAGCTGTCAAATGAAAACGAATGGAAAAGACAAATAATCTTCTCATGAGGTAAGAATGGAGACAAGGATGTCTGCTTTGTTTCCTGAGATTTCAGCAAACAGCTCCTGTCTCCTAAGCCCCGCGGCGCCCACACTTGTCACGCACCCCTTACCTCCTTTGCCTGCAACGCACAGATGAGAACACAGAGGCAACGGGAGCCCAAATCCGCTCCAGTGGCAGGCTTGCCCGCACCAGCCCCGACTGTGGCGCTCTGAGCCTCGGGCTCGGTAAAGCCCACCCGGCTTCTGGCGGAGGCAGCGCGCGGCTTCCCGGGGGCCCCTCCGACCCAGGAACCCACGGAGCGCATCCAAGGGCCCGTGCCGGCCTCACCAGCTCCGGCGACCCGGCACTCTCTCTGCCTGCGGAGTGGAGCCGCCCTGCCAGTTCACCCGCACTCCCGGCACCCTCCCGCGCCGCCGCCGCCGCCGCCAGCCCCCGCCCAGTCTGCCGCCCCGCGCCGCCCACCAGGACGCTCCCGCCGCCGCGGGGGACCCGGGCGCCTGTCCGGGAGCCGCGCCCGCGAGCCTTCCCATCTGCCCGCAGCTGCAGCCAGACAAACCTGCCTTCTCCAAGCACACCCCCGCCCAGGCCAGCTGGCTGGAACTCTTGTCCTCTCTGAGCTTCAGTGCCCTCGTCCATGAAATGGGCATAAGACCTGCCTTTCATAAACTCATTCACAGATATGAATTGCAGGCCTCCTGTGAGCCTGACTCTCCCGACAGACACAGAGCGGAACAAAACAGATGTCCTGTCCTCGTGTCATAGTGGAGTTGCCAGCCCAGGGGGCGGAAGGCAGACCAGGGACAAGTAAATCAGTTATTGCAGAGAACGAGATGCTATGGGGAAATGGGTCAGCTATAGACAGATGGTCCAGGGAGATGGCACAGTAAAGGCAAAGGCCCTGAGGCTGGAGGTATCTGGTCACTGGAGATCACGGGAGGGCAGTGCGGCTGGAGAACGTCGGGGCTTTCAGAGGGGCATTCGGGAAGAGTCAGAGAGGCCCTCATAGATTCTGGAAAGGCCTCCAAGATTGCTGCAACAAGAGTCAAGTAAAAGCTCTTCTCCATTGGAGTCCAGGTGACTTAGGACTTGCCTGAAATGGCGCAGTGTGTATTACAAAGGCTGCTCCAGTTCTGCATATACTGCCTTATCATTTCCTCCAGGAGACCACATGGTAAAATCAAGTATGTATCAAGAGGACCTCTTGAGAGTAGTCTCTGCTTCTGGGACACTTCCTAAGTGTCAGACATGCACAACTCTTCTATAAAAACTTCCATGGCTCCCACTCACAGAAATCAAGTAAAGCAGTGGTTACCATGGGCCAGGGGGTTGGGGAAATGGGGAGGAGATACTGATCAAAGGGTCCAAACTTCCAGTTATAAGATTACCAAGTTCTGGGGATCTAATGTACAGAAGGGTGAGTATAGCTTATAATACCGTATTATATGCTCAAAAGTTGCTAAGAGAGTAGATCTTAAATTCTCTTACCATAAAAAAAGAAATGGTAATTATGTGAAAGGGTGGAGATGTTATCTAATGCTTTGGTGGTAATCATTTTGCCATATGTAAGTTTTTCAAATCAACTCATTGTAAACCTTGTGTGTACATAATGTTATATGTCAATTATATCTCAATAAAGCTAGGGGAAAAACAAACTTTCGTGGCTCCCCATGACCCACAGGACATGGCCCAGATCTCCCAGCCACTCCCCCCACACGCCAAGTAACCCCAGAGGTACCATCCATAGTGCTGACTATGGAAATGGTTCCAGAGTGGTGGGCAGTGGCCCCTTCCAGAATGACAGCTGTCATTTACAGTGCAAGTGGGCACTGCAGACAATACCCCATGGGATCCTCAGAACAGCTCTGAGGGTGAGCATTTTCATTTCTGTTTTACTGATGAAACCAAGTGAAACTCAAAGATTGAGCAACTTCCCCAAAGTCACTCAGCTAAGAAACTGAATGATCAGATGCTACCCATCAAACACCCAAGCCTCTGCTGGCTGGTCGCCCAGGTTTGCACCTGCCGTGTCTCGTTTCAGGATCACTCTCCTCCCTGCCTTGACTCCCTGCTGCCCCTCCTTCTCAGCCCAGCTCCAGAGTTCCCTGAGCCACGATGTGTTCCTGCTGCAGAAGCAGGTGGCACAGCCTGTGTCTATGTTCATACAACATACTCCCCGTGTCCAGGGCACGGCTCCTGCCTCTGCCCTCGGAGCCCATTATGGGTCCACACACAGTGACAGCATGTGACAAAGGAAGGAAAGAATGCATTTCACAGAACTTAGCTATAATGACTCATTGGAAAAGACCCTGATGCTGGGACAGAGTGAAGGCAGAAGGAGAAGAGGGCGACAGAGAATGAGATGGTTGGATGGCATCACTGATGCAAAGGACATGAACTTGGGCAAATTCTGGGAGTTGGTGAGGGACAGGTTAAGCCTAGCATGCTGCAGTCCACGGGGTCATGTAGAGTTGGACACAACTTGGCAACTGAACAACAACAATCGTTAATGATGGCTTTCAGGAGTCTAAAGTGAAGAGTTTCCTGTTCAGAAACCACTCACCTATAGACAGCTGTTCTCTGTGTGGGCAAGAACTCAGACACTGACATCTCCTCCTCATGGGGCAGCTGTGAGGGGCCAAGGATTGAGGTCTTACTGGTGAGCCTTTTGAACAACTTCCCAGAGTTCCTAGGCCTGAGCTCAAGCCCGTGTAGAACAGAGAGCAGCAGATGGGGCAGTGAAAATAGTGACTAGATCCTGTGCCAGACAAAAGTACTTTTTCTTACACCCACCTCATAAAGTATGATCATCCCATATCACAGGTGAGAAAGCTGAGGTTGGGAGAACTGGGGTGTCTTCTCCCCTTCATCCAAATTGTAGATAGTGGGGTTGGGGTTTGAATCCAAAGTCCAAGCTCTGTCTCCAGCATCCAAGTACCCCTGAGAGGGGATAAGTAGACATTCCTAGTTAGACCAGCACAGCAGGAGCTGGCTGTCAGACCTTTTGCTCAGCCAGGGAAGGAAACAGCAACCCCTGGTGGCAGCTGAGCCCTGCAAAGAGCAGAGCCAGAATATATAAAGCTCCCTGAGAAAACGGAGCCATGAGTAAGAAGCCTGGAGCTGTACTTCCCTACTCTCTGCTATATGAGGCCAGGACCCCAGTCTAGGAGATCCCGCCAATGGGCAGACTGCATTCCACAGTATCTGGGGGACAAGCATCTTGGAACAAGTGATGAAACTTGAATGGAACCTGGGGTTGAGAGGGTAGTTATGTCTCAATGCTAACTGCCTGAATCATGATGGCTGTGTTTTGGGAGAGTAGGAGAAGGTCCTTTTCTGTAAGCAATAAACAATAAAAATAACATTTGGAAAAGAGGGGCTTCTTGTTGGCAGTTTACTCAGATGGTTCAGAAAAAAATGCTGTTTATCCTCACTTGTAATTTTTCATAAGCCTAAAATTGTTTGCATTTATATATGTGTAAACCTTTGATATTTTTAAATATATATATATATTTTTTAAATATCAAGTTTTTTTAACCTTCATGGAATAAAACAGAAATAGAAGCTGAAAGCAGTAACATCTAGAAATAGAATTGCTGGGCCAGAAAGAATGTTAACATCAGTTATGTGAGTAATAGGAATATAGACCATTTGTTTCCTTCTCTCTAATAAAGAAGAATTCATAATTATAATTTTATTTTTAAAAAGAGTAAAAGAAATGAAATGATATCTCATAGCACAGAGTATAAAGCTTGATAACAATCATTCTAGCCTCAGTTTCATCATCTGTAAAATGGAGCCAAGACTGGTTTAGACTCATGACAAGGTGATAAGGATACAAAGGATTAAAGAATAATCCTTCGAAAACTTCAAAGTCTTTCAAAGACACCTGGAAGGGAGACATGAGGAAGGGACTCCAGGACTTCAGGATCAGGCAGCAGATACGGGTCTGTTCTTCCAGGAAACCCTCTAAGTGGTAGGCAGGTCTGCTGAAGAGGACGCACCTGCTGTGGGAGGTGGCTCCCAGATCCTGGGAGATCACAAGCTCTTTGTTTGCCTTTTCTCCCTGTTGAAGCCATAAAGAGGCTGGGCTGTTAAATAACTTACTCTGATCACAGGGGAAAAAGATAAGGGATTTCAGCTAAGTGATCTACCCTTTTCCTGCCTGACTCCAGACAGGTGGCCTGGCCCTGGCTCCCTGCCCTGCCTTTCTCCAGGGTAAAGTCGGACTTCCGATTGCCTTTTCCCAGCCCCTCTTTACTGATGTTTCCCTCCTTCTCTATTCCATTTTAAGGAAGGACAGTGCATAACAGTCTGCCAGCCAGAGAGAAAAGAGGAAGAGGGCACAGTTGCCACCTGTCTAAAGTTCCATCGCACTGGCCAATCCAAGATCTTGAAGCTGATCATCTCAAAATCGCATTTTTCCTACTAAATAGAGAGTAAGAGAAAGACAAGGACAGAGAGATATCATTTCCCAAAAAGCCCACAGTCCCCAGGTTAGTCCTCTGCTAACTCAGTGGATTCATTAGCCCACAGTGCATCAACTATCCCTTTGTGGGGGACAGGGAGAAATATCAAAGTAGTTCAGCCTGTGTGTTTTGTATTCACATCCCTAACTCCTATTTCTGCCTTCTTGGACCTTCTGGGATCCATTCAAAATGTCCACAGTCATTTAACAAAATTTTAAATCATCTGTATGTGCTACGTGTTACACTGGACAGAGTTCAGTTCCTCAAGACATGTTCTAAAAGAAGTTTTGATCCAGGAATTCCAAAATGGGTGCAGATAAAACATTGAGTAAAATACCCACCAGATTACAATATGCTTTGGATGAAGAATTTACTCAAGGCTATTCCCCATCTCAGATTGTGCTTAGCTGTGCTGTCCTTCCAAGCTTACCTGATATGATAATATATGGGTCAGCTATCACGGAGTAACAAACAACTACAAAATCTCAGTGACATACAAACACTTTCAGGTCAAGTGGTGGTTAGCTGAGCTAGGCTGGGCTCAAGGGGGCAGCTCTTCTTTGAGCTGTGGGTTCAACTGGATTAGCTCCTCACCAAGATTTAGATTCCTCCACCTGTGCTCATTGTGGGCCCAGGCTGAAAGGGAAGTTCAAAAGAAGTTCTACTCATGGAGATGGCATAAGTACAAGAGGACAAATACAGCTATAGAGGCTAATTTC